AACAATTAAATTTAAACTCTTTAAATTAAAAATTAAATTTACTAAAATTAAATAGAATGAATAATTAAGTTTTATTTGTCATTATTGAAGATAAAGCCTTCTAAATACCTATAAATATATTCCATCATTTCTTATTTAATGTCATAATTTTAGCATACAGGCATATACACGCATTTTTTAGAAGTGCTTTTTAGTATATAAATAGAGATAGAAATTCTTTTTATGATAAAATGAAACTACTTAACAAATATACATATAAGCAATTTTTTCTTTAAGTTATCATTCATATATTATAAAAAAGTACTACTAAATAAAAATATTATAATTATAACGTCATATGATATTATCAACTTATGACATAATATATCATTATATAATTGACTATAAATTCCTACTTATAATTTATTATAAACAACTTTTACTATCATATCTATGAGATTAAGAGTCATTTACAGATAGCTTTTATACACATTACTTATACTTGATTATTCATCTCTTACAGTAAATGTATGAGTGAAATTTATTAAAAGTTCATAGTTAAAAGATAAATGATCAAGATTTTATATAAGTAACGTATGTAAGTAAATTATAACTCAAATATATATATATATATATAGGTTAGGATCTACTTAATTATACAGAACTTTTATACAAATCACTTATACAAAAACAATTATCTTTAAAGTAAATTAGATTAATTAATTTCATCCATTCAACTCTTATTTTTTAAAAATATTTTATTTCTTGTGAAAATATTACTTCACATAAATTAATGAATTTTTCATTTATCTGAATTCATAAATCTAAATCCCAAGATGACGTACTATTGTGTATGACTCACTATTGTGTATGACTCTTTAGATTTTCATGAGGTTGGTAGTAAGTTGCCTTATATACCACAAGTGATACCTAAGAACACATTATGGCCATTTAAGTGATAGAAAGGTAGTTGGATTTGACAATTAAGCCTTCTCATGATCAATTACCATATAATTTCATTAGGGATGGCAATTTCCTCCGGAACCCATGGAGCTCCATGGATATCCCCACCACGGGGATAGAGATTCCGAGAATATTCCTCTTCGTGGGGAGGGGATGGAGGCATTTTTTTTTCCAATGAAATTTCATGGGAAATTTCCTCCGCTCCGTGGGGAACCTAGAGATCAATATAAAATAAAAGAAAATATAATTTTATTTATACATATATATTTAAATATATTAACAATTAATTTTTACTTATTCAACCTAATTAATTGACCAATCCATTCTTTTTTCAGTTTTTCCAAACCCAATTATACAGTATAGTCCAGCCCATAATCTTCATAAACTTAATTGCCCAGACCCAGCCCAATTTGCATTAGCAAGTAGTAACCCTAGAATTAGAAGGACTACTACCCATAGATAGATTTCAGATTAGCGAATTTGCGATTCCTTTTCCTCTCCAGACTCCAATCTCCTCTCCTCTGTTTTCAGTTTTTCCAAACCCAATTATACAGGCTAGTCCAACCCATAATCTTCATAAACTTAATTGCCCAGGCCCAACCCAATTTGCATTAGCAAGTAGTAACCCTAGAACTAGAAGGACTACTACCCATAGATAGATTACATATTAGCGAATTTGCGATTTCTCTTCCTCTCCAGACTCCAATCTCCTCTCCTCTGCACAGACTGTGTTGTAACTCACTAGCTCTGTTTCTATTCTTCAATCGGTCAATTCCCTTCAACCTATCATTCTTGACAACCTTCAAAAGGTAGTGCCCATAGCTCTGTTTCTATTCTTCAATCTGATATAAAGATTTTTTTCTAAAATTTTGTTAACTTGGGGTACTTGTTTTTGTTTTAAGAAGTTATTTCCTCAACTTGAAATTATTGATCAAGCTTAGTTTAAGTTACTGTTGTATAGTTTGCCTTGCTAGATTGGATGGATGTGTATGCATGTGCCACTTACTAGACTCTTTTATGCCCATTTTCTTAATGAACTTATTGCTGGACATCTATGGCAGTAGTTTATGCATTTTTTTTTCTATGAACTTTGTTGAATCTAGACTTGTGTGACAGTTGTAGTTTATGCATTTTTTTTCTATAAACTTTGTTGAATCTAGACCTTTTGCTGGATTTGCTGGACATATATGGCAATTTATGCCTTTTTTTCTTATGAACTTGTTGTTGACTTGCTAAACCTCCTTGACATGTATATAATGACTGTATATATTTATTGCTTTTTTGTCTTGTTTCAAATTTTTACTTTATATAATTATTTGAGCTAGTTTTATTTGATGAATGTGAAAACTAGTGGAGTCTAAGTAGACCCATATTGAACTTAATTTTGATTAACAAGCAGCAAAAATTTTGATTAACAAGCAGTAGAGCGGGTGATAGTTTTATTTGGCGGAGACTCTGAATAGTTGCGGGAACCTATCATTTCTTACAGGTATGAGAACGAAGGTTATTTTTTATTTTGATCCTCCACCAAAAATCCTCATGGGGATCTCTGTACCCGCCATTAGTGGGGATAGCGATGGGGAAAAGGTTCCTGCCCCTATGGGGACTTGTTGCCATTCCTAAATTTAATCCTTCAACCAATATCTCAATCGAATAGCATGGATGCAATTTGATGTCCACATCAACTAATACCATAAGGGCCACTAAGGGAAAAGTCAATTCAAATTTGTGTTAGTGCAAAGTCAATTCAAATTTGAAAAATGTACCGGTACAAAAGCAATTCAAATTTGAAAAGGTAAATTTTATTTTTGGTCCTTAATTTTAAAATTTTATGTAATTTTCATTCTTTAATTATATATATATTTAGTCCATTAATTATGAAAAATGTATTTTTTTATATTTTTATCGATTATTTCGTTAAGTTTATCTAAATATACATATTTAATCAAGGTTTTTAGAACCAAATCGGTCATTGAACCGTTTTCAGGTTCGGTTCCCAATTCAACCGATGAACCGATCGGTCCAAACAACAAGGGAGATCTACAGGTTACAGGCGGGCAGCTTCCACCTCTAGTGCGCAACACTTCAAGTCTTCAACATTATTTTTTGCTCTTTTGACCATTTTTCACAACTTTTTAACATAAATATATTATATTTTTTACCTTAAAAACTCATCAAATAATCTCAATACTAATTCTAAGAAAGCACAAAATGCAAACTGAAGAAGAGCATAAAAAAAAAACTCAAAAAAAGAAACGAATTATATTATAAAAACTAAAAAAGATTAAAACAAGTTAAAAGTTTAATTAACACAAAATATGCAACCTGCAAGTGTCCAAAAACCAACCCAGATACAGAACATATAGCTAATTAATACAAAAAATTAAAAGTGTCCTGCAAGTGTCTAGCAACTCTATTTCTAATTCTAAAATTGGAAAATAATTAACAATTTCTAATTCTAAAAAATTATAAATTTAATTCAATTTTTTCTCATCAATTTATGAAACCAAGATATACCTGTGCTCGGGTGGGAGAAGCTGTGAATGTGAAGTGTGAGCTGTGAAGAAGCAGTGAAGGCCAATTGCATAACAGGAGGCACACAGAAGGTGACCAGCGTCAGTGAGAGCAGAGACAAGTGCCGATGAGAGCAGAGACAAGTGCTGGTGGCGCAGAACAGCATAAAGCAGGGTCGATGAATTGAAGTGAAAGAAAGTATCAGCAGAAAGCAGTTCCGAACTTTCGATGAGAGCAGATTCGCAAACAGCACAGCAGACGCAGAGAGCAGCTCCGGTGAGAGTAGATCAGCATAAACCAGAGCA